GAGATTTTACGACCCAGGAAAGAAGGATTTGGGTCTGCATGAATAATCTTCTATGTGCACTGCTTTAAGTGTGTTTGTCATGTAGTTTGGGGAAAATTAGGTTGAATTTATTTGCAGCAATAAAAAAGGAAAATATTTCCCTGGGGCAGCGTGCCACCAAAAACACAAACACAACTGTTAAAACACGTCTCTGGGGCCGCGAGCAGATACTGAAACTCTACTCCATCGCAGGCAGCTCCTGAATTCTTCCATGTGCACCACTGAACTTATCTTGTTTTCTTTTATGCCTTATCTGTTTTTCTACCTGTCTTTAAACACTGGCAACATGAAACTTTTTTGCTGCTGATAAAAAATGTTGCACAGGCAGGTTTAAGGTTTTAGACAGGATGACGGAGGGCTTTCTTTAATCCCTTGTTTTTACATCCCAGCACTGCTCCCTGTGCAGTCATCCATGCATGGGTGGACAGGCCTAACGCCGGGCTACTCCCATCCCGCCAGGCAGGGATCCCTGGGCTGAGTGGGACGAGGGGGTCCTGGTAACCTGCGTGCATCCCAGTCGTCATGCATACACCCCGTGTTCCCCACCGCTGCGCTTCATGGACACACACTGCCTTCAGGACTTAACACCGCTGAACTAAACACTGTTAGGCATGCAATGTTGACTCTGTTCTCTTCTCACTGTTATTACTCAATTGGCAGGCACTGTGTGCACAACATAATTACTCTACCACACTGAGGATGTTGCTATCAGGTCAACAAATGTAGAAGTGGCACCATTTTTAAGTGTAAATGGAACATTGTTATCATATAATGACACAGTTGAACATGCTTCTTATCATGTGGCCTGATTTTAACTTCACTGTTGTCCCAACAAAGGTGCACTGTATGCATTCATTAAGTGCGAGAGAAAGTGAATAAATTTGTGTTTATGCTTAAGAAATCACTGGAGACAATCTTGGCTTCCTCTTGATATAAAAGGGATATAAGCTGAACCAAACCTTGAGCGCCATGTAACATCTGTTTTGTGTACGAATTATAGCTTTGAAATTGGAGTGAGTGCTTGTGAGTGCTCATTTTCCCTGTGGTAGGTAAAATGAGCTGTTGAAAAGCGCCAGTGATCCCGATCCATCTCAGGTAGACAGGTTTGTACCTTGATTTGACTGTAGGCATATTAGATCCTCCTCCTTTTATGTGATTCACTCTGCAGTTTGTTACATAAGTACATACTGTCAATTTCTCATTTTTATTTTTTTGCTGTAATTATGCGACTGATTGGCCCCTCGTGTTGAGCTTACTGAAGTTATGAAAGCTAAAGAGACTAAACAACTGCAAAAACTACAATAGTTTTGAAGGAACAGTTTATATTCTCTCACAGTCTGTTGTTTTTGCACTGTCCTGCACCTACCTGATGTGCGTATCACTATCTCCTTTTTCTAAAGGAATAGTTTGATCTTTTTACATAGATGCAGAATTTGCTTTCTGTGCAAGAATCAATCAAGACAATTTTTTGACTCCACTTTTTAAAATAACTATAATCAGCTTTTTTGGTCATTAGCACCTCTAAAAGTCTCTTATTAACATTTAATGTCTTAAACCAAACAGTCAAGTCAATCAAATAATTTTCATTCTGAATGAGTGAGTTGATTGAGTGACCTTCCTGTTATAATCCCATCTACCCATCTACTTCGTTGCTATTCTCGTTCCCAGTCTGAATGCTAAGCTAAGCTAACCATCTTCTTGGAGCAGCTTCAATTTTATCATACTGATAGAAAGTATTAATTTCTACGTGAGGAGAAGTCTCTTGTAACAGATTATATTTTATTATATAATATTTTGGCATTTATTAAATATATTTTATATGAACTTTCTCTTGAATTTTTTCGTCTCCATCACAGAAACACTAAATATGTCAACTGTCTCTAAAACAGTTTTATTTCGTTTTTCTGCATATATGACTGCACATTATAAATCACATTAAACGGCAGGAATGTTATGTTGTCTCGTCAGCATCGGACTTGTTTTCACTTGAAGCCACAGTCACCAATGTACTGTTAAGAGCAGCTATAATTTCAGGAACATGACCAGCACATGATACGAATCAGGCAAGATTAAGGGATTTCTATAAATCTGGCATCAATCTGTAGCTATTACAAATGAAACGTAATCCAAATCAAACAGTCCCTCTCTGTCTGTGAGCTCAAAAGACAACACTGTGGTTTATTTTACTTGCAGATTTCAGATGTAACGACCAAAGATTGTTTATTATTTGTTTCCCTTTCAGATGACTTCATTAGTTAATTAAAATGTTAAATAAGCATGACCCTTTGAGTCGTCCGTCATGTTGAAAGCAGAGTTCACGACACTGACTGAAGGTAGTTCACACCATCAGAAGAGTATTAAAGGTGTGTGCTCACACTGTGGTTCGGTTTCCTTTGGGACTCGGGTCTCGTCTCCCATGTGTGGGTAGATCCAAAAGGTCCCACACACTGCCGCATTAATCATCACTGGGGATGAGAGAGAGGAAACAAAAACCCTCGCCTGGGGATAAACCCAGCCATTACTCAACACGCCAGGCGTGATGTTTGACTTGACTCCCTCAATTACAGCCATCACAGATCCCTCGCTGCTCTCAGCAATGACAGATTCCTCTCATCTTCAGAGTGCACAGCAATAAGGTTTACATGTGTGACATTTTGCTTTAAAACACAAAGATCACACTTGTTTGAAATGCACCTCCGTAATCATGTCGTAAAAAAAAAAAGAAATTCCTCTCGCTGCACAACTCCACACCTCACTATTGTGATCACTTTCAAATGGAAAAAAAAATCTCCTGAGGAATGCAGAGTACGACTGCACGGTGCCAACAGCCCACACACGGGATTGGTGAGATAGAGAGCGAATGCCATCATCAGAACTGTTTCCACTGTTTCCATTGGGCACAGGGGAATAACATGTAAACGTGGAGTGTAAATGTCTGGCTTGTTTGAGGACACAAATTTCCTGCCAAGACAGCTCCAATGGTGGTGTTGTTTTCTGTGGGAGCTAACAGATGTGTAATAGGATGAACTTACAAACTTAACCAAGAAAAAAAACAGGTTCTTTTCACCCTGTGTGTGGCATGATTTTTCCTTTTCTTCAACACAGAAACATGAAAAAGGTGGCACCAACAAATGTGTCCACTTCTTCAGACGTCAAAGCTAAAAAAAAAAAAGGCTCCCGGTTCTCGTCATCACAGGTGACACTGTTTGGCAAAAGACACTATCTGGCACAACACAGCATCTTAAGAGTGATTATGTCATTACCCTGTGATTGTGAGAGATGAGATGAAAAGAATGTTAGAGAGAGAGGCACAGGGGGCTAATCCTCGCCGAGGTGTTCTCTTTCAGGACCCTTTCTATGGGGCTTTGTGAGGGGCTTACACGGCATGCTGCCCCAGTTTTTCGGGGCCGCACCGCCCCTATCGGATGTCCCAGACACAGCGGAGTCAGACTGGGGCCTGTGAATGACAGAATCAATGGGCTGGGAACAACATCGCCATAGGTCTTTAAATGTCTGCCCACCTCACTTTCCCAGGAGTTACATCATGGCAGAGGGCCCGTAAGCGACCCTCCAAGGGAAAACTGTGGAGACACCCAGCTCCCAGTGGGATGAGGCTGAGAAGTGAAATCCCAGCAGGGTGCAATCTTCAGGGTTGACACAAGGTCATCCTTCATAGCCTCTGCTTTTACAAGGCGAAACCAAGTCAAATAAACAACCACCAGGCCGCAACCACCGACAATGTGTTCTTAAAGATACAAAAGGAGACCTCACCGCTTGGTTTCAGGAGGAGGGGGGGAAAAAAGGCAGCGAAGGTTACAGTTAGGATTCCACAAACCAACTGCTTGGTCGGAGCTGCAGGCTGGTATATAGGGCAGTGAGAGTTATATGAGAATGCCAACATAATGGGTGGGCTGAAAGCAAAACAAATAGCCCGTTGGAAACATTCGCAAATATGCAACACCAGCAATAAACCAATAAATAGCAGAGTCAGGGGCCAACTGTTGCTCCTGGAAATGGAATTGTACCACTGGAAAGCAGTTTTGCAAGAGGATAACAACACTGGTCTACAGTTACTGAATATATTTTGTCATGGTAAGAATTCTCTCTAGCTATCACAAACTATAAAATGTTGAAATTTTTCATTCTTTGTGAGTCTGTTTATGACTTCATTTCCTGCTTATTTAAAATATCTCCATCTGCCAGATATTTGAAACTTCCCTCCATCCTGATGTTTTCACAGCGGCTGGAAAGTCTTGGTGGCAGACACCCGCAGCACGTGCTAATTGATGCAGTGATCAGCCTTTGGACATCCACATTCCTGGCATACCTCCGGAAGTCATCCATTTAGCGTTTCACACATTTCGGCCCTCCTCACTATCTGAAGCTTGACCTGGAAGGGCACACCTGTCCTGTCGTAGCTTCTACCTTTGCCACAAGTCATTTGCGCTGCACATTGCCTGTGCTGACAAGTTAAGTTCACATGTCTCGCGCACTGTGCCTTTTCATATGTATTCACCCCACTTAGACTTTTCAGGTATGTTGTCATGTTACAACTGCAAATTAAAATTGGATTTTATTGTGTTGTATGAAATATACAATATATAATATACAATATAATAATAATATACAAACAAAAAATATATAAAAAGATCTGAGCGCTTTGCTGTGAAACTAAGATCAGGTGCAACAATTTCCTTCAGCTTAACTTTAGCATCCATCAGATGTTTGCTTCTTTATCTGCTCATTTAAGTTTATCAAATAAAAAAAATCAACAACTATAATATCAATTTGAATTTCAGTTTATGATGAAGTAAAATGTTGAAAGTCCAAGGTGGTGAACACTTAAGGTACTATTTTTGCATCCACTGTGTATTTCCGTTGATACCATCATAACGGCATATAAAGCTTAAATATATCGAAAAACATTTTCTTTGTACATTTCATAAAGTTTAAGTCACTACCTTGACGCTTCCACCGACCTCCTCGCTGTTGGACAGAGTAGCGTTGAAGGATTCTGTGTGCTGCGGGGTGGCCTCCTTTGGCCTCTTTCTCTCCTTCTTGGCATCCACCCCATCCAGAAGGACACACTGAGACCAAAACACTACAGCCACCACGGCCAGAGGCCCAGCCGCACACCACATCTTCACGCTTATTCTCAATCAATCCCCCAGCAGAAAAGAATCTTCTGCAAGGGTAAGATGAGGGATGCCCACAAGGCTCAGGGAGGGAGACCAGAGGAATGCAGCTTCAGGGACTCCCTGTCCAAGAGTCTGTCAGACTGACTGCTGCCGCCGTTGCTCCCCTCCTTGATGAGCTCTCAGGCAGCACAGCGTTGCAGGGGCGCTGTTAACTCTAGCCAGAAAGCTAGAGGAGGCTTACTCAACTATGAAATGTGTCAAGAAGAACGGTGCAAGGGAATGACAGATCGGCGCAGATCTGACAGCAAATAAACCCATTAGTGAGATTTTTCACGCTTTCTGCTCTGTTGGGGGTGAGGTATTGAGGAGGAGGGGATGAGGAGTGGGGGTGGGGGTGGGGTAGAGGGGGGGGGGGGGGGCAAAAGGAGACAGGCAGAGAGGAGGGGTGCGTCCAAAGCTGAGGGTGGGCTAAAGATGGATGGCAATATTCTCTTTTTGACCCAGCTCTCTCCTGCTGCTTCTTCTCACACTGAGCTCCAGTCTGCGAAAAAAAAAAAGTTGTGTGGCAGCTGGAAAAAGCTGCAAGATCCACAAAAATTCACCAAAAAAAAAAGAAAAAAAAAAGATGCAGGTCAGTGTTCAAGTCTGCAGATTTACTCCCAAGAGGAGATGGATGAGGTCCAGTTGTGGTCTGTTATCTCCTTCAACGTTTTCTTCCGCTATCACTAAACTCAACAGGTGTGATCTTCTGCTTCTGTCTGAGACAATTATCTGACACAGGTGCTTCCCTCCAACTCTTCCAACAAATCATCAAGTCCAATGCCACGTGTGAGACTCGCACCAGAGTGATTTGTTGTGTTGTTACAGCTCCTGTTTCCCTCCCTGTCCCTCTTCTCTCATCTGCTCCTTTGCTCAGACTGAGTTTACAGGAGGGCTCACAGTGGAGTTTTATCACCACCCTTTTCTCCCTCCTGCTTTTCTCTCTCTCTCTCTCTCTCTCTCTCTCTCTCTCTCTCTCTCCCCTTGCTATTTCTCTCCTCCCTTGCCTCTATTGGCAACCTTACTGGCTTATTCTGCTCTGTTTTATCTCATAGATGAAATGCTTGGGCTGAAGAGGTTCCTTGGCAGACAATATTGTGGTGTGTGTGACGTGTATAAAGTTGTGTATCTGAGAGCTGAGGACAGTTTGGCTCAATATTAGCGGATTCTAGTAAAGCCTTGTGTTCAGATACGAGCAAGAAAGAGAAACCTAATTGTATGAGATAATTGCCGAATCGTTTAGTATAATCTGTTGCTTAAATACTGTGAAAGAATAATGAGTGTGTTTGTTTCCTGTGTGTTTGAGTGTGTGTTGATGTTCAGCAAATGTCTAACCTTTCTGGACAGCCTATGAGGAGGTAATACATGTCTTCTAAGTTGTGTAAATTGCAGGTGTCTGTAAATAAATCACAGCTGATGTGAACAAATTGGCGGTCTGGGTATTCCTACTATAAGCTCATTTGTCTAAAAAGAATTCAGCCCTCTCAGTCTCTTATTGAGATAAATAACATGTCAGCTCATGAATGCCTACAAGTATGTCCCATTACAGTCTGGGACTGTTTTCCTGGTCTGTTTTGCTTTAATTACATTTTAACACAGTGCCACCCAGAGGCAGCAGCTTGCAGTGCAAACAGCTCACCAGTACCTTTCCAGTATGGCTCCTTGCTGTTGCCATCCTACTTCCTGATTCCGCTGGCAGGCCTGACTGAAAAAAATAGCAGGTAGAAGCAGCAAGGAAAAGCCTCAACCATGTCAGGGGGGAATGGAATAAAGTCAGATATTGATCCATTTCACCTTTAAGATAATAGACGAGAAGTGCATTTTTTGGAATAAATGATAGATCTGTTTTTCTCCACAAACTATGACACTCTCAGACCATAAATCTCATCTGGGCTGTCCATCCCTGGTCAGCACTTAAAACCATTTATTACCTGAGCAAACGATTTCATACATTTATACATTTGACTTTTTACCTGTTTTACATGTACCTGATTCTAAGTTACTATTTTGTGTGCATAAGTTAATTATACAATATATTAATAAAAAAATAATAATGTCTTGAAACGTTCCCCTAATAAGGCTGCTTCTTAAAGCTTTGGATTTAAACCATTACTACATTACACATCTAGCCTAATTAATTTAACTTATTTTTGTTTTTTTCTTCAGCAAACATCAATTGTTTAGCTATTTGAGCAATCCATCCATTATTTTATTTGTTGTTTCTATCTCCTATCTCCTGTCTTGGAATGGGGGAGGAATATGGTTGTAATATATATTATTAATTTACATAACTTCGATAGCGAGGTACATAAACTTTTTATACTTTAATTTAAATACCTAATATACTATACTTTATTCTTTTTTTAACTATTTATCCAATTTTTACTATTTTTTGTTTTCTACTTTTAGCACTGCTAGCTGCCAATTCTTTTGAAACACTTGCTGTTCAGGTGTTAAGAGACTCATTGAGTAGCCTATTTGGCCCTTGGATATGAGGGACAAAAAATGACTAAAGTATAAATAAATAAATAAATAAATAAATGTTGGGAGAAATGCATACAATAATGTATAAATAAATAAATAATTCAATAAATGCATCAATAAAATATATATATAATAAATGCAACAATTCATATAAAAATATATATATAAATAAATATATTCATAAATTTATTTATGTATTTCTGTGTCCATGTTGTAAAGGAAAAGTAAATATGTAAATTAAGTGGGCCGTCCTAACATTACTGAAGTAGGATTGGTCAATTTTGAAAAACAGACAGAAGCAAATTTACATAAATACTTTTCCTCTTATGACCTGAACACTGAAATAAATAGATGTGTAAATGTACAAATACGGAAATAAATTAATAACTCAATTAATGTGGAAATGTATGCATTGATACATATATAACTGTAGGAATACCCTTATAAATGAATAAATACATGTAAAAATATATAAATAGCCTTTTTCATTAACAAAGTATATTTATTATTTATTATTGATGTATTGTTTTCAGCATTTATATATTTATTTATATATTTATTTAATTATTTATTTATTTATACATTATTGCATGCATTTCTCCCAACATTTATTTATATTCTTTATATTTATATTTTTTATATTTTTATAGTAATTTTTTTGTCCCTCATACTTGGATACAATTTGTTAGTAAGGAAATTAAATATGAGTCAGTACGGCTGTTCTTTGTTTAAAGGTGCTGTTTTTAGGTTTTTACAACAGCAGGTTAATCAGCTAGAAAGCAAACCAGCTCAACTCAGGTGACCTCACCTGACTGGAACACCGACAGGTACTTACCTCTCTCAGATCAGTGGTGTGTTATTGGACTGAGTGGGGGCCGTCCCACATCTCGGAGTGGGAGTATTGTGGAGGAGCCACGTGTACAGGAACTGGAGTCTGACAGCTTTGCTCTCTGACTGGAAACGACGCAGCTCTGTTTGAATAGGAAGTCCAGCTAGCATTAGCTCCTGCAGCTAGCCATCTCTGATTACCAGACTCCGTTTGAACTTCCCACAGTTTCGTCGTCAAGACAGGTCGGTCGGTTTTTTATCTGCTCGCCCTGCTTATATTCAGCACCTCTTACTTACACCAAACAGCGCTTTGCTCACCTATAATGTTCTACTACCCTGCTTGTGTTAGCCATTCAGCTAGCGTAGCAGTATCATATAATTCATGTGACGTGATGTGGCTCAATTCACCTGCTAACTAACCCCTTTACGTTGAGAACATTCGGTTGCTAAGCGACAGCTAATTCAGTGGATACATGAAAGTGGACAATGTGAAATACCTGGCAGTGGCGATGTTTTGATGTTATTCTGTTGTAATATTATGTAACACATGACATCTCACATCAACGAACTATGTCATCTTTCACGTCTGTTACTACTACCTTACGTCTATTTTATTTATTTATTATGTTAAATATTATGCAAGTAAAGAAACTCCAGCCGTTATCGGTAGAGGTGTGACGTTTCCCACACTGTGTTAGGGAGCGATCTCTGTTGACATTGTATTGTAGGCTACTCCTGCTTTTTACTGCCTATTCGTGTGTATTTCTATGTTATTTGTTGACCTGAGTTGTTTTTATGCGACGAAAATCATTTTCTTCTGAGTCATGCACACACACGTATGTCAGTAATTGGTGTGACGCGAGAGGGAATTTCTAATGGGCGTTTATCAATTGTGGAAAATCCGATTTTACCAGAACGCATCATTTATGTGTAGCGTTAAACAGTTGTGTATGACGGCCTGAATCGATGTTGTGTTTTTGTCCTTGCAAAAATCCATTTTCAGAGTTGTTTTCTCCATAACTAACTAAATAAGAGGAAAATACGATTTAACAGTTGATCATCATCATGTGTGTCTAATAAGAAAGTGTTAAATTCATTATTCTAAATATTTTTTTTACAAATATTTTAAAGAAGATGCATAAAAAATATAGAAAGAGCAAATCTATTTTGTAGTTTGGAATGACATCTGGATAAAAACAACACACAGTATTTCGATTTTAAGCAGTTAGTCAAACACTAACATAAAGACATATAGATAAACCCCATTATCTTGTTGAATTAATGTGGATGTAGTAAAATCTTGTGATTGAACTGTGAAGTTATGGCACTTTACTACATCTTAAATGCTTTTTTTTTTTTACATTTCTCAAGGCAATCATGTCTGTCTGGAGAAAACTGTGGCGCAGGAACTGCCTGGCCGTGTCCCTGCTTTGCTACATCCTGCTCCACAGCATGGACGTGCACGCACGGCCAGCCAACATGTCCGCCTCTAAAGAGAAGTCTCCGGCCGCCAAAGACGAGAACGAGATCCTTCCCCCAGACCACCTGAACGGGGTGAAGATGGAGATGGACGGCCACCTAAATAAAGACTTCCATCAGGAGGTGTTTTTGGGTAAAGAGATGGAGGAGTTCGACGAGGACTCTGAGCCCCGAAGGAACAGGAAGAAGCTTATTGACATATTCTCAAAGTAAGACTGACTTTTCAGCTTTGACTTTATCTCTGAAGTTACAGCATTCTTGAATAACAGAACTGCTGATCAGGTTCTTCAGAAGCCTCAACCAGGAAAACAAAGTTCTAGTGCAGGACTTAAAATGCCACACACTTGAAGACCAGGCGAGTGAAGAGGTGTGGCCTGTGACAACAATCTCAGATATGCTTTGATAACTATACTTATCACTTTTATGGGAAGCTTAAGGTGTGTTCGGATAAGGTATCCCTGGGTGGTGTCGTAACAAGATGATATTGTAGTGAATGGAGTATTATGGGACCCTATAGTTAGTCACAAGGTCTAATTTTCCTCTTTGTGGAAGGCAGAA